CCAAAGTGTATCTTCTGTATGAAGGTTCTCAGTCTTGGATTTGTGGATGCATGCGTGGATCTCAGTATGAACACTCTACAATCTATCTTCTTTCTTGGGTTTTATTTCCAAATATTTGTTGGTGAAATAACAGATGACTTTTCATAGAGTTTGGTATCAGGTCTCTTAGCATTTGGAGAAGGTAGATCTGTTATTGCCATTACCATATTTGAGGCACCATTAGGGACTTATGTTGAGAGATAGGCAGCTTCCCTCTGAGACCCTAACACATTATGGTTCAAGGTCACAGAATTTCTCCTTCCATTTTGCCAATAAGTGTTGGCCTTTGGTAGACCAGATGTTACATCTAGTCTGCCCACTGCACATTAAAATGGGGTCAGCATTTTCTTCCCCAAAGTTGAAAGAAACTGAATACCTCTGGGGGTTCACATTTGGGTCAGATAAGTCACAGAAGAAAAGCTGACCACTGGTGCCTCCAATGCGATTAACATTGGACATCCAAGGCTGCTGACGCAGGCAAAGGGCTCCAAGCACCAGGTAGACCTGCTGAATTGTGTGCAAATGCTATTTGTTCCTTCGAAGCCTCAACATGTCCCTTAGGACTGAGCAGTAGAGGGATTGGGGCCTCTCTCTGGTGTTTACTCACTGAGGATTTTACTCTTGAGAAATCACTGCAGCAACAGAAACATTTTGCCTCCATGAAGACAGTGTCAAAGTCTGAAAATCCAGGACATTTAAGGCAGGATTCCAACCTCATTACTGCCAGGAATAAGATTCCTCCAAGGTGGAAGTGTCCTTTCTTAGAACTTAAATCCGTCTCAGAATGGCTTTTCTTCCTCCTTTGTTTTTGAAGCTAAGCAATTACTTTTTTTTTAAAGGAGAAAAAAAAATTGTGCTAATGCACAAAACTCTTCTTCCCCTTTCATTTATTTGAAATTGAACTTAACAAAGTCAGTTCCTAGCAAGCACTCTATATGAGTAATGCTTTTTGTCCATAAAAGAGCATTGACTCAAATAGTATGGGAGTGCTGATTCTCTCGGCTTTGTGCGAGCGTCCATAATGACAAAGTGCTCATGTCAGAGTGTATAATGAAACTATAAATTGTTTTCATGAATGCTCTGAATTTGGTCTTTTACGGGGCAAATTCAAAAGGTATTTAGTGCCACATTTCACATATGTGAATAACACCAGACGGTACAGTGTATCCAATGCAAATAGAGAATCCCAGTTGGGCTCACACTGACCCATGTAGTGAGTGTTTGCCAGATGAGGATGGGAGAGTCAGGAAAAGTGTGCATGTTTTTGAGTGCGTGTATGTGTGTAGCGGGGGGAATATACCCCACAACTCTGTGGAAGAGTTTTATCTGGACACACCTAGATGTTGGGGATAGGTAAAGAGTGGCTTAAGTAAGTCAATAAAAAGGCAATAAAAAATTAAAAGGAAATCTCCATATTTTTTGTCTTAAAGCCTGGACTAGGTGACATTCCCACTAGCAGTGCATGAAGGTACTCTTTTTACCACCTTCCCGCCAACATTTCTTATTTTCAATTATATGTGTATATATGCCATTCTCACTGTTGTAAATTAGTACCTCATTGTTACTTTGATTTTTTCTATGATTCTAGAAAAAAAATCAAAGTAACAATGAGATTCTTTTTTCATATGCTTATTGGACACCTATATGTCTTCTTATGGAAGTTCTATTCATCTCCTCCTCAAATTTTTTAATTTATTTTTTTGCTGAATCATCGTGAGACACAGTTACAAGACTTTCATGTTTGAGTTTCAGTCATACAATGATCAAAGCGCATCCCTCCACCAGTCTTACAATGATCAAAGCGCATCCCTCTACCAGTGTACATTTCCCACCACCAATGTCCTCAGTGTCCCTCCCACCACCCCCACCCTAACCCACTCCCTGCCTCAATGGTAGACAAGTTTCTTCTTACTCTCTCTTTACTTTTGGGCATTATGGCTTGCAATACTGATATTGAGAGGCCATCATGTTTGGTCCTTTATCTACTTTCAGCACACATTTTCCATCCCAAGTGATACCTCCAACCATCATTGGCTTAGTGATCTCTTCTCTATCCCAGCTGCCTTTTCCCTTAGCTCATGACGCAGGCTTACAACTATGGAGCAGTCTTCCTTATCTCTACTGTGCTTGGGTGTTAGTCTCATATTATGTTATCTTACATCCCACAAATGAGTGCAGTCATTCTATGTCTGTCTCTCTCTTTCTGACTCATTTTACTTAGCTTGCTACTCTCATGTCCATCCACTTATAAGCAAATGAATCATCATGACTTCATCTCTTCTAACAACTGCATAGTATTCCATTGTGTAGATGTACCATAGTTTCTTTAACCAGTTGTCTGTTCTCGGACACTTGGGTTGTTTCCAGATTCTGGCTATTGTAAACAGTGCTGCAATGAACATACAGGTGCAGATGTCATTTATACTGTGCTTTTTTGCATCCCCGATGCAAAAAAGTGGTATTGCTGGGTCATATGGAAGCTCAATTTCTAGGTTTTTGAGGAATGTCCATATTATTTTTCAGAAATACTGGATCAGTCAGCACTCCCACCAACAATGAAAGAGAATCCATTTCTCCCCACCTTCTCACCAGCACTGGTTGTTCTTGTTCTTTTGGATGTGTGCTAGTCTCTGTGGTGTAAGATGATATCTCATTGTTTTGATTTGCTTCTCCTTGATGTGTAATGATGTAGAGCATTTATTCATGTAACTTTTGGCCATCTGTATTTCTTTTTTGAGAAGTTTCTGTTCATTTGATGAGGTTAATACTTTTTTTGCTAAACTTTGTAAGTGCTTTATAGATTTTGAATGTTAGTTCTTTATCTAAGGTATTGCATATGAATATCTTTTGTTGCTTAGTTTTATCACCCAAAAACAAAATCTTTAATTCAAAGAGATATATGCACATCTATGTTCATTGCAGCTCTTAATACAATAGTTAGAATGTGGAAACAACCCCAAAGTCCAACAACAGATGAATGAATAGATGTTATGATACTTACAGTGGAATACTGTGCAGCTTGTAGGGGGAAACTCGCTTAGTTCATGGTAACTTTGATGGAACTGGAAGGGATCCTGCTCAGTGGGATCCTGTCCATCTCAGAGAGAGATGGACAAAGACAGGATGATCTCAGTCTTATGTGGTATATAGATAAACAAATCAAAGTTAGTTGGGCAAAATCAATTGATAATAATGCTTGGGTACCAGAATACAGACCTGAGAGTGCTCGAGTGGGTGGGGAAGAGAAGGAAAGAATGAATGGGCTTCTGGGAAGTAACCTAGAAACATAGGTGGAAGATCTCAAGCACGTCAGTGGTGCTAAGTAACAGTAGGCACCCAAACCATCACTCCCTGTCAACTAGCAAATAATTGGAGCTGTGGTGGGAGGCAAGGAACATTTGATATGAGTGGACATTAAAATGGGGGTAAGGGTCATGGAAAACTTTGATGGCAGAGGGAGGTGGACAGTAACTTGGTACATCGTTGCCAGAAACTTGAACACTATTGTATTCCTACCATCTAAACTACAATAACGAAGAAATGAATAAGATGAAGATCAGCACCATATGATTTTACTTAGATGAATATATGAAGAGCCAGTCAAACAAACAAAACTAAGCAAAACATTCAGATACAGAGAACATATTTAATGATTCTTAAGGAGAGGGTGTTAGTGGAGTTAGTTTTACAGTGGCAGATGGCAAAAAGACTTTTGAGGATGGTGGTGATCAGAGTGGACAGTAATCAGATGTTAAAATTGAACAATGGAAACATGGAATGTTATAAACCTCAATACAAATTTATGTTTTAAAAAGTCATTGGAAAAATACTTAGCTCATAAAATTGATCTTGAGGTGGTGGGTGCCTGTGTTGGAATCAAAGAAATTACACCTATCCTGGCCAATTTAGTGAATTAAAATTCTCATGTGAGAAAGGATCTGCTATATTATGTGGGTGATATAATCTATCATGGTGATTTATAGTTCAATTATATTATCTTTAATAACTTTAAGAAATTTTATTATAGAAGCCAAATGGATCTATTCTACAAAAATTTAGAAAACAAGCATAAGGAATAAATTTTTTCTTTAAGAAAGGGGGGGGGGCTTACATGGTGATATTCAGGAACCTTACTGTGCCAGAGATGGAATGTAAACTTCCTGCATGCAAACCCATGCCCAGCCTGTTTAACTTCCTCTCTGGTCCCAAGAACAAACATTGTAAAAGGGAGCATGCAAATGATTTTGTTACCCAGGGTTAATAATTAGTGAACTTGTACACAATTTTAATTCATCATCTTCCAGTGTTCAGGATTTTGTAAATTAAAAAAAATTGAATAATCTTATTTGGAAATAATAACTCCTTTAAAAATTGTATTCCAGCTATCTGTTCAAGTAATTAAAAAGTATTCTGGTTTGGGGCTGGATAGTACAGTGGGTTGGTTTTGGTTCCTGGCACCCCATATGACCTCTTTAGCCCTGCCAGGAGTGACCCTTGAGCACAGAGCACAGGAATAAGCCCTGAGCACCTCCAGTGTGGCTCAAGAACAAAACAAAATTCTGCTTTTATGACTTGTTTATCAGTTAGATTATCTTATTTGTTCCAGTTTGACAAAATTTACAATCCTCCAAGCTTTTGGTCCTGTAAAGTGGAAAATAAATCAGGTTCTCGTTTCCTTTTGGTTTGTATGAGAAATTTCTGTTGCAGATTTCCTTACTATCTCAAAGTGGAACATTCCTGTCCCGTGTGGAATAGATTATTTAGGGCTGGGGTTGTGCTTCCCAGACCTGCTGCCCCCACATAATCCACAAAATCATACTAAGGAGGAACATTCTACTTCCGAATCTTGCAGATGTCCATGCTGTCTCTAAACTCTAGCTGGGCAGGTGTCGCTCAGAAATGGGTGTTCAGTGCAGCTGGACTGTGACTGTGGCCCTGACTTGTCTCTGTTTGTTTTGCAGTACCTGGTATGTAAGAGGAAGCTGGAGAGTAAAAAGGAGGCCCTGCTGATCCTGTCCAAGGAGCTGGACACATGCCAACAGGAAAGAGACCAGTACAAGCTCATGGCCAATCAGCTGCGGGAGCGCCACCAGTCCCTGAAGAAGAAGTACCGAGAGCTGATTGTATGTGTCGCACACGTCACCGTGACATTCTTGGTTCCTCCAGGTGACAGAAGGGGGAACATTTAACAGGCCACGCCTTCCAGCAGTCAATGAGCCAAGGAAGGACTCAATTCAGACTTTCCTGGTGTGGTTAGAGTAAGCCTGACATCTTCCTCCGTCCTGTCCTGCTTGCTAGTTGCTGCTGGATGCTGGCACATGGCCGGCCGTTTGGGCTGTGGAATACAGGGTAGATCCGAGGTGGCTGTGTGTGTGGTGATTGGGGTGGTGGTGGGGTTGGGAGGGTGAGGGAGTGGGGGGCAGGGGACTGTTCACTTCACTTAGTTACCTGCAGTTCGCTTATTTTTTCCCCTTAAGGTGGACACTAGCTACATGTGACTCAATTCTGTTCTAAATTAATTTAAAATTAATAGAACAGAAAACTCAGTTCTTCAGTCATCACATTTCATAGGCTCAATCACCATAGGAGGCTGTGGCTACTCTGCTGGATTTCATTAATGCAGAACATTTCTGGATTTCATTAATACAGAACATTTTCAATACTGGACAGAAATGTCCAGTTTAGTCAATATTTAACAGTTAACCAAGACACATTTCCACTATTGCAAAGAGTTTCCTGGGATAGTGTCATATAAGTATTCTAGGGCATTTGCCTTGAATGTGGCCGAACCCGGCCAACCTGAGTTCGATTCCTCCGCCCCTCTCGGAGAGCCCTGCAAGCTACCAAGAGTATCTCGCCTGCACGGCAAAGCCTGGCAAGCTATCCGGGATATATTCATATGCCAAACACAGTAACAACAAGTCTCGTGTGACTGGGCTTGCTCAGCAAATCGATGAACAATGGGAGGACAGTGCTACAGTGCTCTTTTCACACAAATTTAGATCATTAAAAAGAACCTGAATAGAAATATTTCTGATTTAAAAAAAAAACCCACATTTCCATTTTCCGAGGCATATAGATTTTTCTCTAGGTTTTTATAAACTGAGATTTGGTGTGGATATGCCTGGTCTTTTGTTGTTGTTGTTGTTGTTGTTGCTTTTTTGGGTCCCACCTGGTGATGCACAGAGATTACTCCTGGCTCTGCTCTCAGCAGTTACTCCTGGCAGTGCTCAGGGGACTATATGAGATGCTGGGAATTGAACCCAGGTTGACCACATGCAAGGCAAACACCCTACCCGCTGTGCTATCGCTCCACCCCAGATATGGTCTTGATGCACACACTTACCTCACCTCACCACCACCAAAGTGTCCAAGACCTACCTGGTGCCACTCCCAACCTGTGTTCTAGTACTCAAGGCTTGTTACCGATATCATCTACACACTTCTTTTGTTTCCCTATATATGGCAGATAAGATTTGCAAGGGTGCAAATTTTACTTCATTGGAGGGTACGAGCTGCGTAGTGTTATTTTTGCATTGTTTTTTTTTCCCTCACTGAAGCAATTGGATGGGATCTGTATTTTTTTTCTGTCATGTTGGATGGTGCTTGGGGCCTACTCCCAGCTCTGTGCTCTGGGAGTGTTCCCAGCCAGGCTCAGGGGACCACGCGGCCCCAGGATCAAACCCAGGGCTTCTATATGGTTGCACTCAGCCCTTTGAGCTTGCTCTGTGAATGCCCATGCTGCGAACCTTTAAATGTTACACCATTGCTCACACACTACTGCATTAGGATCGTTGAACTGTTCCCAAACAGTAGAAAGATTGCACCGGTCAAAATAATTCTGATTTACATGTAGATAGCATCATGTAGAGGAGTCCCCCTTTAGTGGGTGTTTACTTATTTGCTTGAGATATTTGTGTTCCACACAATGGAGAGGAATTAAATTCTTCTAAGGGCTGAGGAGAGGAGATGCCTTAGTGGGCTGAGCACATGCTTTGCATGCAGGAGGACTAGGCTTCACCTCCAGCATCCATAGTCCCTCAAACATCACCAGGAGTGAAACAGCACCAGGTATGTCCCCAAACAAACCAAAAGCAAAAGGTAATAAATTCCCTTTTTTTCTCTTTAGTGGTGCCTGAAATACAACCCAAGGCTCGCACACATAGGACTCTTGCTCATTCCTCCTCCACTTTGCCAGCCCAAGGGATTGCATTCTTTAAGATGAAGGGCCTGACGGGATTGAAAATCCTCGGTTATTTATTTTTTTCTGTTTTGAGCATGTTCGTTCCTGCTTCTGTTCCCCCACCTCCTCCCCAATTATTCTGTGCATAGAAATTATTTAGGACTATCTCTGTGTGTGTATGTTTGTGTGTGTGCTCACCCTTGTCCATGACTATTCCTTACAGCCAACTACTTAAAAGAGACTCTCAAACTAAATAAATAAAATATTATTTCATTTAAACTCTACTCTAAAATAATTTCAGGACCTGGAGTGATCATATGGTGGCTAGGGCTGGTGTGGCTTGAAAATCAAAATAATAATAATTTCAATAACTGCAAGTTTTTTAAAAATTCATATATATATGATTATTCCTAATTGTAACTGATTCCCTTCCCTAAGAGTCTTCCCAAAATAACTGTTTCAGTTTATGATAATCTGCATGTATATTTGAACTTGGTTCAACATATTACTGCTTACAAGAGGTGCAATTAGGTAGGTCTGAATTTTTATTCAATACCTACACCTCAGTCATTTTATTTATTTTAATTAAAATGAAATATTGTTTCTTTGTAGGATGGCGATCCATCACTTCCACCTGAAAAGAGGAAACAGGTAAGACAATTATTTTTAAAACCTATTTTTTAAGTGATGAGCGTTTGGTCAACAATTGGTCAATCCTGTCTCTGCACTCTGGAATTACTCCTAGCAGCACTCGGGAGAACAATATGGGATGCCAGGGGTTGATCCCATGTTGGCTGTGTGCAAGACAAGAGCCCTACCCACTGCAATATCTCTCTAGCCTCTAAGGTTTAGTCTTTTGATGTATTATATATTGGATATTTTATATAGGTAATCCCAAACCGATTAGAGAAATCTTTTAGTTTCTTATAATTCTTTGGTGTGACTGTGTGTGTGTGTGTGTGTGTGTGTGTGTGTGTGGTTCAGGAGGGGGATGGAGAATTCATGCAACCCAAGAGGAGATGCTGGACAGTGTGTGAGGAGACCAGTGAGCTAGGAATTGGGTGCTGGTTGACTCATCCCATTCTTATTGGTGATCTGTTTGGGAACCATGGACAGAGGATCTCGCTTACAACTCTCTCACTTACCATTCCATCTGTTTGTGGTGCTGGAGATGGGACCCAGGGCTTTAGCTCTACCACTGCACTGCATCCCTGACCCCTGTTTTAGAGTTTGAAAAACCATCTTACTAAGAACGAATGCCATTTATCTATTTTTCCCTTAAGTGACATTTAGACCTTTCGTTCTTTTCCACTGAGCTCTTTGCATTGTCTTGTATGGTATCAGCACAGGTAGTAGTACTGACTTTGGGGAAGGAAGTATTTTTATAGCAATACATTCAGGAATATCACAAATTCCTTATAATTCAGTTGCAAACATTCATACTTATATGTCTAGATATATATTAGAATAGTATTTCACAATTGTTCTTCCTCACATGCCTTTTTATAACCAATATTGACTTTAGTAGACTTGAAAAAGATCCCAGATGATGTAATGTAAGTACTCTGTGTTCCATGTATGGGGAAGCATTTGCACCCGATCACGATTTCCAAACTGGGAGATACCAAAAAGAATACTGGTCTCTTGATAGCTGTAATGGTCAGCTCAGCACCATGTATTGTTTGCTGATGATATAGGGCCCCACTCCTATAAACTCCTGGGCTTCATTGCCATGATATTTTTAATACTGAGTAAATGCTATGCCCAAGACATACGCATATGCATACACTCACAAACTCCACACATACATATGTACAGAACACATGTGCCTCTTCACACAATATAATCAGAATGCACATGCACACACAATATATGAGTGCATATACACAACACACATGTACATGTTATATGCACATAACACATATTCACGTGAATGCATACATAACAAAAGGCACTGTCACTGTCCTCCTGTTGTTCATCGATTTGCTCGAGTGGGCCCGGTAACATCTCCATTGTGACACTTCTTGTTATTATGTTTGACATATTGAATACATCATGGGTAGCTTGCCAGGCTTTGCTGTGAGGGTGAGATACTCTCAGTAGCTTGCACATACACACTTAAACACATGTACACATACTCACACAAAATACATACACTCATATGCTCACATAAGAGTGTACGTGAACATATTCACAACACATGTGAATATTTATGCATGAACAACACATGTACATATACAGGCTTATTTATAAAACATGCATGCACATATATACATAATCTTTCTCTCTCTCTCTCTCTCTCTCTCTCTCACACACACACACAGAGGACTTTTACCCAGAATAACAGCTTGATTCTGTGCTTACCCCCTTCTACTCTCTCTCATTCTCTTTCCCTTTTTCACTTGTTTTATAATATTTCACACATTAATCCACAATCAAATTTTTCTGTGGAGCTAGTTAATTTTTTTCTAAGCAAATTTACATGGAGAGCTATTAATAATTTTTTTAAATGTGAACATTTAAATTTTGGAATTTTTGCTCCAGACTGGCTCAATACTTTTGTTTTTGTGCTTTTAGAGGCTGTGAGCAGTCATCTCCACTGCGATTTCAGACTTTGTTAGTATTCATGAAGGAGTTTTACAGTTTAAGTAAATTCACGTTCTGTGACTTTATAATAAAAAATTTACATCGACTGAGGAGAATTTGATGAATTCTAGTTTGTCAAGCCACATCCTGCAGTTCTTAAAAAGCAAATGCATTGTCCTGAGCATTGACTTTGCAGCTTTTAATATGGCATTACTTTTTTGAGTTTGGGACCGTGGTGTGAATTTGACTTTTCCAGCCTCTGTGCCTGCAGAGAAGAATTACCACAGGGCTGTATGAGACAGCATGAATACACACACACATATACACACACACAATCACAGACGCACACACACACACACACACACACAGGGGTACACGTGATGGGAGTTCTCAGCCACCCTCATGACTGATTCTGAACAATCAGGGAGCCAGTGATCTCACTTAAATACCAGTTCATGAGCAGTGCAGGCTTCGGGTCCTGCTCAATCTTCACAGACTCCTTCTCTCTGCAGTTCCACACTTAGCAAATTAAAATTCAGTACCCCAAGGCAGATTTGAATTTCAGATCAACAAAGAATCTTTCTTTTAGTATAAAAGTAAGCTCCATGCAATATTCAGCTCAGACTTATTCTAAAATATTATTCATTGTTTATCTGAAATGCAAATTGAGCTGTATTTCATCTGACCACTCTGTGAAGTTTAGTATTAGCTTCCTCTCGAATGTAGCCTTATTTTTCTTCCTCCAAGCAGGAGAGGCCAAAACGCAGCTATGGAATGTATGTTCTTCCAACCTGCTTGGGCCACGGTAGGACTTGCCCCATTCCTGCTTACATTAACATTCTCAGGGATTATTGCACAGGAATTAGCTTAGGTTATTTACTTGTTCACTGAAGGAAGGGCTGTTAGGAAGCCAGCAGAAATATCCACCAAACTAACTGTGCGACCTCTGGAAGATTACTTTGAGTGTCTAGGTCTCAGCTTTCTCATCCCTAAAATGGGAATTAACATGGTTCCTACCACAAAGAATTGCTGTAAGAAGGAAGGGAGAAAAATTCAAGTCGTGTCCTTAGCTGCCATAACACAGTAACAGATGGGCAATCTATAAACACTGATCATTTCCTCCTCATCCCTTCCTAAGAATCACTTATGTCAAGAGTGATGATTCTGTCCGCCATGGCCTTCGGCAGGACACTTTCAGTCACACTTGGAAGCTGGAAGTAGCTTGAAGGTTCCTAGCTCAGAAGGCCTCAGAAGGGTTGGTAAGACAGTCACCCTGAAGGGCTCCATCTCAGACATTGCTTCCACTAGAGCTCAGATGCCCCTAGGTTGCTCCACTGCTCCTCTCACTGTGCCTGTGGTTCTCTCTATTTCTCTCCTCTCTCCCTTTCTCTCTCTCTCTCTCTCTCTCTCTCTCTCTCTCTCTCTCTCTCTCTCTCTGGAGCCACTTGTTTTGGAGGATGTGGGAAGCCTGAATGCTGACCACAGGAGGGCAACAGATCCTATATCACTGGCCACTAGAACTTAGGGCAGACCCCCAAGTCTCAGTTGAGAGATCCTTGGGGATCCTAAGTGTTTGGTCAGGGGTCCATGTAAGGATCAGACAGGTAACCTAGTGATACAAAGTAGCTTATAATCCTGTCCTCTTTTGTTTATTTGGTGCCACCACTGGTAGTATTCAGGGCTTATTCCTGGCTCTGCACTCAGGGATCACTCCTGACAAACTTGACGCCATATGGGGTCCTGGGGATCGAACTTGGGTCTGCTACAAGACAAGAGACCTACTCACTCTACTGTCTCTATGCCCCCTACTCTTGGTCTTTTGAAGGGGTACTGAAAGATAATGTTTTAACCACCTGCACTTAAGGAAGTCTTGGGATGATAACTAATAATGATGGCAGCCAAGGTTTGGAAATAGTCAGCCTTGCATTGTGCTGGGCCTCGTTCCTGAAATCATCTAATTCTCACACAACTATGAATGCTATCGGTATCATTGCCAGCTGACAAATGAGGAGATCAGAGCTCGTGGCAACCTGGATTTTCCTCAAGAAAAGCAAACTAATTGGTGATAAAGCCGAAGCTTATACCCCTCTAGTTCACTCAGAGGTCATGCTCACAACCACCATAACTGCATAAGCATTCATATTCCTGGTGGGCATCCTCAACTCATAAAGACAGTGAGGACCCAGCAGTGAGAGCAGTCAGACCCCAGTTCCTCAGCTGGAATTGGCAAGGTAGTTAGGGTGACCAAACCATTCCATTTTTCCCAAACCTACTCCTTTTTAAAAGGTAAAGGTAAAGGTAAAGGCCCTCCCGTTGTTCATCGATTTGCTCGAGTGGGCCTAGTAATGTCTCCATTGGAGACTTTGTTATTACTGTGTTTGGCATAACGAATACGTCACAGGGAGCTTGCCAGGCTCTGCCGTGCGGGTGAGATCCTCTCGGTAGCTTGTTGGGCTCTCCGAGAGGGGCGGAGGAATCAAACTCAGGTCGGCCATGTTGGCTGCGTGCAAGGCAAACGCCCTACCACTGTGCTATCGCTCTAGCCTTTTTAAAAATGTATTTTTATTTTTTAATTATTAGGATTTTTTTAGTGAGGCACTGTGAGATAAACCCTTACAAGCTGTTCATGATAAGATTTCAGTCAGTGTTCCAATACCCATCCCTCCACCAGTGTACATTTCCCAGTACCAGTGTCCTCAGTTTCCCTCCCATCACCCCATCCCCAAGCCTGCCTCTGCCTCTTTGGCAGGCTCTTCTCTTCTCTTCTCTTCTCTTCTCTTCTCTTCTCTTCTCTTCTCTTCTCTTCTCTTCTCTTCTCTTCTCTTCTCTTCTCTCTCCCTTCTCTATCTTCTCCCCCTCTTTGGGCATTATGGTTTGCAATAAAGATACCAAAAGGTTATGTGGTATATCTTTTTTATCTACTTTTAACTCTCGTTCTTGTCCAGCATGATCACTTCCAGATATTATTGTTATACTGGTCCCTTCTCTCTCTTACCTACCCTATGCCCCCCACACACTTGTGGTTGATTCCAACCATTGAACAGTCCTCCTAGCCCCTGTTTCCT